TTGATCAGGTCCTGGAGTTCAATGGCTCGCCGGGTGAGGCAGGTCTTCGCAAGGTTGTGGATGTCTTCGATCGTGTCTACCCTCGGTGGCAGACACTCTTACGAGAAGAGCAAGACAAGGAAAGGCGATTATATGAAGAGGGTGAAGGCGCTTACTTGAGAAGATTCACGCCTGTTCATTCCTACACGCGCATTGTTCACAAGGCAGCATATGTGTTTGGGAAGTTGAAACATTACGAACGGGAACATTCCATTCTCACCGAACTTCTCGAGCAGCACCTATTCCATCCTGCCAGGCGAGGCAGCTGGTATCAACGAAAGGCCCTCTTGGAGGAACACTACATGTATGCACTAGATGCCAACGCAGTGTCTCCCGATCCAGACATCCAGAAAAAGCATTGGAAACGAATTGCAGCGACGACTTGCGAGACAGCGCTAGAGGATAATGAGTGCCATTTGATCTACCATTACGATTTGCAGAAGCGTCTGCTCAAGCTCGAGAAACAGCTTCGCATTCCACGACGACTTCAGCACGACTTCGGCCACGTTCGTCTCCAAAAGCCATTAGAGCATACTGTTGAGGGCATCCAGGTGATCAAAGAAGACCGCCAAGGCAGAAATGGCCGACAAGCAAGCACGAAGACGATTTGGGTCGATGAGCTAGAGGAAGGCGGTGAATGCAGCGTCGAAGAGATGTGCCTAAGTTGGTACCGAAGCAAGGGCTACAAAGGATACCACGCCGAGGGAGGCATCGTGCGCACCCTTTTCGCCTATCTTTTCTACGACATTCTGTTCCTTTACATCCCAAACGTATTTCAAACAGCTTATCAGACTTGCCCCTTGGACCTTCATACGGATTTGTTCTATCCGACACGGCTGTCCGAGATTAATCACCGACTAGTCGAGATAGGCAACGGCGGTGCGGAGGCCATCATCCGCGAGGTCGACGCCAGAGAGCGCGAACGACGAACGTGTGTTATCGGCCTCAATTGGGACTACGACGTTGAGGATCTTGTGGAGCTGGTCGGGTGCTTCGATGGTAGCGCACTGGCCGCTCTCTGCAAGGTGATGGCACAGGAGTACCGACAGCGGGGCGGAGGCCTGCCCGACCTGATCCTCTGGCGGACGGAGCCGAAAAAGGAATGTATGTTCGCCGAGGTCAAAAGCGCCAACGACCGTCTCAGTGACACTCAGAGACTATGGATCCACGTTCTCACGGGTGCAGGTGTGAAAGTTGTGCTTTGCAACGCCGTGGCCAAGGAAGTCAAAATTGTTGACTGAAAGGGCCCTTGGAGTTCTCAAGGACTCCTAGCTGCCGAGATATATTTGGTTCGCTTTTATGGGTATCCTTTCGGGATATTGCGTGGTGCTACGGGAAGCGGAGATTGCTTTGAAAGCTCAGCGCTTCCCGAACTGAGGAGAAATGGCAATATCTTCGAACGGGACAGGTGTCAGTCCATGAGCAAAACACGCAAGCTTCAAAATCAGAATTCCTTGAAATTGGAAATGACTTGCGGTGCCTGGTTTCTATGCGCCGGGTCAGCCGAGCTCATCTCGAGGGCGGGAAGCCGAAATACGACATATGGCGATGCCAAAAATAGGATTTTGATCTTCAGCGATCCGCAATCACTCTAAACCCATGGAAGCAAAGAACGACAAAAGAAGATTATGAAACGACCGAGTCGCCACTAAAAGCTGCATTTAAGCTCTGTTCAGATCACCGGTCAAGGAACTACAGCACCTCGAACAACCAATCACTTAAGCATGATTGGTAGTTTACAGTCTTGTTTCAATCTGATCATTTGACAAACTGTCGAATGCCTTGGCTCCAGTTTCAGCATTACCAGGGTCTACAACTCGTGGCGCCGGGGGGGGAGGCTAAATCTGGTATCAGAATTCGAGACATCCAGTCAAAGGCGACAACCGACAGGCAGGGCTCGTTTTGGGTCGGAGATTTTATGAATCACATGCAGCCAATCACGCAAACTCGTCGAAGGTCGGTACTTTGGGTGACGAGGTTGGACGGAACCCTGCGTTGCACTGGGTCATCGGAAGCCAGACAGGCAATGAAATCTCACATTCTCACCGAGATTGGAAGACGCAGCACCACAGGCACGCTTCCTCAAGGCTTGCAGCAGTCTCGATCTTTGCCCCTCTTCGCGCTACTGATGCCGCATCTTTGGGGGTGGAGGTCGTCACACTCGCGGTTGGTCTGGCGTTTCGTTTACTGCGTGCGTGGGCTAATGTGGTCCAGACATGCGTCCTAAACAAGCTGCTAATGTACGGGACGACGACTCCGTACGTAGTGCCATTTCATGCCTCTATGATCTATCGACCTTCTTCACCGCCAGATGACAGAAGTCGATAGCAACCAACCAACATGGGATTCACTGGTCTAGCAACGGAACATTACCGGCATCTTCCCTCGAAAGAACGCAAACCCCGTCCCAATTTTCGTCTCTTTTTAATGCAGAGCCACCCTTTCCCATTTTCGAAGCAAAAGGCCGGAAGCTTCCAGCTCTGTGGGAGCAACTTCACTTGCGATCGAGCTCTTTGCGACGGGTCACCTTGCGTCAAGGGTCAAAAAAACAAAAGTCACAGACGCTTCGCCTGGCCCCTACCCACCATAATCCCCACACCAGCACGCCGGCGCTTAACTCCTCGACCAATCCACTGCCTCCCCGCCGACCGTTGGTGATGGTCCTGACGGGAACCGGGACACCGCGGAACCCCTGTCATTCCCGCCGTCGAACCAATCAAGACCCCGGCCGTTCTGAGGACAGGCGCTTAGCAAAGTGAGGTGACTGGGGGTTTTCCACGGCTTCGCTCCGTACGCGACCACCCACCCCCATGCAGTGCCCGGGATGCCGGGTCGTACCATGACCGGATCCGGCAAGGCGCGCCAGGCCGCTTTTGCTGGCCCTTTCCTCGACTTCTTTCTGACTGGACGTTTCGCCTGCTTGGTACTTTTCTTTGGCTTGACGACACGCCCTCGACTGCGTCTGAGTTGTTGACTCTGTCCCATCGAGGGTTCCGAACCGCAGTGTTCCTTGAATCTCAACCGCGAACCTACAAGAGACGCTTTCTGGGACGAAGGCCAAGTAAAAGAAAGAAAACAAAATCACACACGCAACATGCACACCCCGAGGTGTGCAAGTGCGCATCTGTATGAGTGCGAAGCAATTTTAGACCTCATTAACCGTGCTCCATCCCTCAAAGGGTGATGGAAAGATTAAGCGGACCACGGAGGAGAGGAGGGCTCCGGAAGGAACGAACCTGGGGAGACATGGGTGCGCCTTTCTACACTTCAGTCATCACCGCATCGCCCATCACGACTGCAACACCAAGCCGCGACTAGCAGCGGGAGGAGGATGATGACGCCCGGGCGGCAGCAATATCAGCAGCGGCGGTGGCAGGAGCAGCATCTATAGTGCTGTAGTGTGATGCCCGCTCTCCGGCCGGGACTTGACGCATCACCGCCGAACCATCACCCCCCATCCCAACCCCATCCCAACCCCATCCAGCCTACCTTCTGCCGGGTGGTTGCCCCCCTCCCCTCCGGTTCGATTGCACCGCTTTCCAAGGTTTTTCCTCATAATGGACCACTGAAGATCGACGGCTATTACACCGATCCCTCATGGCATCCCCCTGCTTGGCGTGGTTTCCCATCTGATGGGGAGGGGTATACAACTCGGCTTTTCAAGAGAGAGCGTACCAAACCCAAAGTGTGACGGGATGGTATGGGTATGATGAGGTGAAGGGCAAGACAAGGCGGACGGGATGGCATCCCCCATCTCCTCAGCGTAAACTGAGGCGGGGGAAGAATGGTAGAGCGGCCAGCCAGCTGAAAGTGAAGACAAACTTCGGTCAGATGGTCAATTATGACGCCCAGTCACACATTTCAGAGCAAAGGCTCAGTTGATAGATGTGCGAGGATGTGGTCACGGCTCTTTACTGGGAATCACTATACGTGGGATCAACACCATGTACGCAAAGAACGGGAATAAGGTATGAGAATGATACTCTTTCATCTCTGGAGACCATGAGAAATCTACCCGTTTCCCCGTCGACTCCACCTGGCCGGCCGTCGCGGTCTCTTCTCCTCCTTCCCCCTAAAGCGCGGGGCCATAATAAACCCACGATGCCGGCCGCTGATGCGGCCGCGCTGCACGAGGATGCCCGCAGTGCAACGATAAACAAATAGACACAGACACAGACACATGATCCATCACAAATGTTCTTGCGGTGAAGGAGTTGTCCTCAGAGACACGACTCAGTAAGGTTAAGATATACACAGTATGCTGATATTAGGCTACCTGGCTCGCTGTGTAGTAGGTATGTTGCCCACCCCGTGGAGCTCTCTTCCATCGTCTCCCAAGAATTCCAAGACGCATTCAACCTTCCCCCCATTTAGATAATCAAGTCTGCCCACCCAAATAGTTCCTGGTATCGAACATGAGCATCGTAGAGACGCCAAAGAACTCCGTTTGGCCCGGTCCCAATCAAGGACCGGTAGATGATTCGAAACAAAAGACCAACCAGTTTCCTTCTTTCTTTCGCAACATATTCCTTGGGATGAACCAATCAGTGATTCCACCCTTATGTTTGCCTCCATATCATGGTGTGCGCCAGTTTGTGTGCGCCAAGTTACTTCCGTTAAGTCATATCGTTGTTAAGTCCCTGCGTGGGAAGAGCCTGCTTCATCACATGTCCTGCTTCTCTTTTTTGTGGCGCTAGGCCTAGGTCGTCAAATGGCGCTGCGTTTTGCTGAAACGTAACGTTGTTGAGGCGATGGTGATGGCGATGGTGATGGTGAAGGTAGGTAGAACAAAAAGAAAATAGATCGGGATATGTAGTGCCGATGTTGTGTTAGGTTAAAGTGGATTCGTTTGCTTTGGTCCAGATGCTCATTCCACCTTCCTCCTCTTTCCTTTTGGCGCGGGGTTCATCCTCGGCGTGTAAGTTACTGTCCGCGTGACCACTTCGCGGATGTGACGCACGCTAGTTCTCGAGGGCTTCTTCGAATCGTTCAACCTCTTGGCCTTGAGTGCTGCGTCCCAATCGAATACTGAGTGAACCGATCTGGCGCTGAAGGGTGACCGTGCGCTCATTGGTGAATCCAGGTGCGATACTGCTGGAGAAGGCGGGATCTTGAGGCTCGGGAAAGAATTCGCACCGGTGGGAGGTGCTGACATTGGCAGATGTGTGAAAGGGCTTGGCGGGATGGCCGGCGCCGTAGCCGGAGCTTTATGCTCGTGTTCACACTTGCAAGAGATATCAGTCTGCTCGCTGGTGGCGGTCGAAGGCAATGAGCCTGGCGTGGATTCAGGAGTAGTCTCGCCAGAGGTTGATGGCTTGAAAGCGGCCGGCGAGTTGAGAGACATGGCCTTGAGGAAATCCGTATAGGCCGTTGGCGGGCTAATGGGTGTCTTGATGGGAAGGTCCTTGCAAGACATGGGTCTGGCAGAGAGCGGAGTCGAAGCCGAGAACATATTTTCCGAGGGAAAAGTGCTGGTGACGGGCGTGGCCAGCTGGGCCAATTTGGGTCTGTTGACGGGCATGATGGCTTGAGGCGGAAGGAGAGGCGAGAGAATAGTGAGGTAGTAGCGAATGTGTGCGTGGAGAGAGATGTCCAGTCAACCAAATGACTCTGACGTGGTGTGAGAGGAGGAAGTCAGGCTGCCTACGAGCTGCAGAGACAAGTCGCCTGGGAGAGAAGGGAGAGAGCAGACCGGTAGTTGCGAGGGTGGGTGGACGTTATATTATTTCGAAGAGAATGCGGTGGGCGCTTGTGTATGTATGCGGTCGTAGTGTAAGTGAGCCGGAAAGAGGACTGCAGTGCGAGGTCAAGCTCTGACGGCGGCAAGGAGAATGGAAGGGTTTAGGAAGCTGATGTGCTCCCGGAAGTCTGGTCTGGGGTTGCTGGGGGCTTGAACAGGTGGGCGATAACAAGCCAGTGCTATTCGCCAGGAATGGGTTTCGAGCTTGGGCGGGAAGACAAGCAGGCAGACAAAATGTCAGTCTTTCCAGTTCGGCAGGCTGGACAAGGGAGGGGCGGAGTAGTGAGAGGGGTGAGAAGGGGGCGTCTGGTGATGAGATGCCGCGGACGAGGGGGAGGGGTGGATGGCTTGAAGAGAAACAAACAACAGAGAGGATGTCAAGCCTGCACCAAAAGGCTGCGGTAGCGCGTGAAGGATTCTGTGAGGTGAAGAGGAGTCGTGATGTGTTGGTGACAGCGGATACTGATGATCCAACGAGAGGAAAGCAGTGGCGCGCGGCGGGAGCGTCGAGGAGAGCGGTAGACACGAACAAGAGCGAGAACGTCGTGGTGGTGGGGAGGACGGGACAGCAAGAGAGAGGAGTGGACGCGGGAGTCGAGAGTGAGATGACCGGGGTATCTCTAAAGCGGCAGGGAAGCTGCGGGTGGATGAGCTGGGATTGGTCGTGGAGCTTCAACAGACGACAGTCTGATTCGTTGCGCGGGCGCGTGTGGTGTGTGGTGTTCACTGCCTTAGTGCGTGCTGAGCCTGCTGCAGGAGACAGCGAAACAGAGAGACTGGACAGAGACGGGAACGGGGCCTGTCAGGGCAGTGAAAGAGCCAAAGCGGACAAGGGGGTCGATGAACTGCTGCCGCAGCAATCAATTTGCCTCTATTGGCGTCCCTTCTTTGGACGAACCGGCTCGTTCCACGCCAAAAGAAAGCGGGCAAATTTTATTCTGGGTTGTGACTGACACAGCGGTTGGCCTTCGTCCCGTACTATGCTGCGGTGCTCGAAGCTACCGTTGGCTGTAATGGAATAAGGTAGACCGGCTCTTTTTTTTTGTTCCGGTTGTTTGCGTCTAGAGGCGACAAGCCAATGAAAGTGGCTTGGTTTGAGGAAGCGGCTGGCGTTCGGCGGATGGCTGGGATCACCGTTTGTCCCGTCGCGCGATCGTGGATGCCTCGTGGCCTCTCGCCCGGTAAATGTGATGAATGTGTGATTATTGGATGAGCCTTGGTCCAAGGTATTAGTCGGGTGTCGGGTAGCAAGTCAGCTAAGGCAGGCTCAGGTAGTGGCGTAGTGCAATGACGATGTTGCTTTGTACGGATGTCTCGTCGATTAGGATTGGTTGGCTAGCAAAAGTAACCGGCACCTGTAAGTCGTAGTCGTCCAGTGAATAGGTGTCTAGTATCGTCCCAAAAGCGGAGGCTACAAAGACTCGCAGCACTGGGGTGGAGGTGATGCGCCGTGTAAGTGGAGAGAGGGATGCAAAGCCACCTCAGGCGGTGGATGGTAGGAGAGGCAACAGAGACAGAATGCCGTAGAGAAGCAAAGAGAAGCGATCGTAGAGCCCGAGTAACTCAAATGCGAAGCTACCTGAGCTAGCAAGAATCAAGAAGGCAGTGGCCCGGCGTGGAAAGGCCTCGATTTCCGCTCTGAAAGGCTGATACAGAAGCGTGATTGGCTCTTGGAGGAGGCTCGCGGTGAGGTGTCGTGCAGTTGCGGGCTGTCCGTCGCTGGGTCCAACGGGGCTGCTTATGGGCGCTAGCAAAAAAGCACTGTAGCCAGTCACAGAGGTGAAATGGCAGTGGGAAGACAAGAGTCGGCCGGGGCAGCCGTCCGGAGGATGTTCCGCGGTTGAGCTGGCTATTCTTAGTGCTGTGTGTTTATGACTGGTGATTGGACGCTGGCCGAGGGCGCTTTCTCACCTGTAAATCCCCACGTCGTCCACCAGATCTTGCAGATGAGTCTTCTGCCGGGAAGATGTGTCGAGAACCGGTCCCGATGGTGATGTGTGGCGAGGCGGAGCAGGAATCTCGTTGGATGGACCGAGAGATTCGAAGCTAACAAAGACGGGACACAAGAAAGGACGTCTCGGTCCGATGATGATGAAGCCGGGGTGGGCAAAAGAGGAAGCAAGAGGCAAAGCCGAGAAAGAGACGTCGTCAAGCGTCGTCAGACCTCGTGATGACAGTGGGGTCAAAAGAAGGCGCCGGAGCTGATTGATGCCGCAGTGAATACGGACGGGAGTGACAGCTGAACAGGGGAAGCAGGATGCAACCAGTGGATGATGAGTGCACCTGATGATCTAAGATGAGGTGTATGGGGGATCCGAGAAAGAGTCAAGGTGAAGAAGATGCCTCGGTCTGGGACGGGAGGAGAGAAAATTTTCTTGCAACGAGGAAGGAAGGGCGTGGGTCGAGCGTGATTGTGATTGCCTTGTTGGTTCTGGTGTCTGTGTTGGTTGGTGTTGGAAGGAAGGAAGGAAAGCGCTTGGCTCTCGACTTCTTGATTTGGGGGCTTTCGAGTGATGAGGAGGGGAAAGGGAAGGAAGAGCTGAATGATCATGAGCTTCCCTCTTTTTTCAGCATCACTGTGGACCGGATTGAGCCATCGTTTTATCCATCATTCCGTCCACAAATCCCTTGTCTACTCGGCCTCACGATTCATCTTTCAAGCGCCTATCTCCATTCGCGACCTACTTGACATCGACTTAGTCGCCCAAAGTCGAGAGGAAAACAAAAACACAAAGTCGAAATTGGTTTTTTTTTTTTTTTTTTTTTTTTGAAATTCAATTCTTGCTTCACTCCGCGCGCGGCACCGTTCAGCGCCTCGACTCTCGACACTCCCTCGATCGATATGAGCCTATCTCTCCATCTCTTCTCAAGCGCTCTCCATCAAAAGACCACCAGACGTCCTATTTCCAGCCACCTGGCCCAGCAACCAGATCTCGCCAGATCCCAGAGCGCGCGCCATGTGAAGCATGCCGGCCATTGGACCTGGCTGCCACCACGCCGTTGGCCACCAGCGACTCGGAGAATTGCATACCCATGTACGCCATCTACCTCCAAGCATCAACTATGAGTGCGGGTACGTGGCCGGCCATCTCTTCTGCCTGCCTCCGATACACTTGGGGGCTCTGCTCCGATCCCAGTCCGTACCCGGCTATGATACAGCGCGCGCCTCTAGCCAGTACGACGTTGGGCCGCAGCCCGGTCGTCGACCCTCACCACCGTCTCCGTGTCAAGACATCATGAGCCGGGGCACCTCTCCCAGCCTCCCAGACCCCGATTCCGTCTGCCATCCTACTCGCCGACCATTTTGCCCACTTCACCATCTGCCGGCTCTGTACTCCATGTTTGTGGACGGTCTAGAATCATAACTCTGGTGATAAGCGCCAACCAAAGGCCTGTTCTATTCGCTGGTTCAAAGGAGATCAAATCCTTCGCGCCTGTTTCCTGCAAGCTCCCTGGAATCTCATTTGCCAGATCCACGCCAGCTTGCGCGCCGCAAACTTCTGGAGTCTGTTTTTTATCTCGCCGCCCATGCTCAGTATGCAGCCACACAATCTCGTCAACTGCTGCCCTGAGGCACATTCAACTCGAGTTGGTCCACGCAAGCGGTGTGTTGTGTTAGTGCGTCTATGGCGTCTTGCGAATCCTTCCGTTGGACGTCGAAGATAAACGCGACGTGGAGGATTCAAATAGGTCGAATTTTGATCTTGAAAGACCAATTGCTTTCTTGAGTTGTCGCTGCTGCGTGCCTTGGGTCGTCCATCTCATGGCCCTCGGCCTGAAGGATCGCGCTTAATATGTTATGCAATCGATCGAAAAAAGACTGTTCACTTGGCTTGTAAGACTGCGTAGACGCCCCTGGAGACGACAATCATGCTCTTCTCTTGCCACGTCCTCGGCGTTGCTAGTAGTCTGTCCATTTGCCGCCCAATGGGTCAGCATCGAAGGCTTCCAATCAGCAGAGCCAGAGCTTGAATCAGGTTTTCTGGTTTCTTCAAAAGCCAATGATTCCTCTGATATGCTCGAAGTCGGGTTGACCAAGGTACGTCCTCGCGAACCGCACAGTAGTCGCCATCTACCAGGTCGCGACGCTCATCAAACAGATCAGAGCAGCATTCGCGCCTCAGATGCAATGACAAACGTTCCAGGATTGGCTGGCCTTCTCCCTCAAGCGTACGCGATGCCATCATGAGCCGCTGGCCTGTTTTTCTCGCCGGGACCACCCATATCGAAGTGCTATCTATGTATGGCCTTGAACGGACTTATCAATGTTTTGCGGAGGATTCTCCTTACCTACCTAGGCAACCAGGTCTAAGAGACAAAAACAGAGTTCACCTCGGTAGGCTACATCTCTTGGTGCACTTACTGGAAATCGAACTCGTACTCGTTGCCTGTCGTCGAATAGGCTGTGGGCGTAATTGACTGTTGATCTTGAACCATTCCACCACCCAGCCAGTTTGTCCTGACTCCCCGACCTAGAGGGACGCCTGCTGTTGCTGGGGTCAGAAATGGGATCGAGGGGGGGTATGTACCTTTGTTCCGTCGCGTATACCGAAAGAGTATTTGTGGGCTACTCTTAGAGCGTCAAAGTAGGCTGTCCAGCAAAGAGGGCCGCCGTAAAGCTCATTAATGACTTGACTTATGGCAACCTCAGTCACTCCTGAGACGCAAGCGGTGCGAGTAAGCGGTGCGAAAGAAACGTATCTAGGGGCCAGCTGTACCCCCAACCTCGTGATCAAGGTGATTTCCATGCTTATCTGCGAGATCCTGGGGATTCTACCTTGATTGAGCGCGAGGTCTGTATTTGCTTGGGCTTCTGACCTCTTCTTAAATCATCTTCGTAATGTATACGCGTATATGAATGTCGGCCTGCTTGTCCAACAGCAATGAACCGAAACAGCTGGCCACCGCAATGTGTCAACGAACTTGAGTTTCTCAATAAAACATAGAAATCGATCACATAGTTATAAGAGTAAATCACCTATCGGTTCCATCACATAAGTATACTCCTTTGCCGCCTTCCTTCTTTAACCCCTTGTGAATACATGTCAGAATACGATACGAAGGGCCCCCAGAGCCAGGCAGTATGTAGTCTGGGAGACTGAACCAAGCTTTCCAGATTGGATAGTAATGAAGATTGAAGATTTCCTCGAAGGCTTTGATCAGCTAGGATAAGCGACTACGGACACCTAGAGGACAATACTTAAAAAGCCTTATGGTGCTCTGGTTGGAGAGTATCTCTCCGGTCCCAGCTGTACCTGTCTTACATAACCGACGAGATATGGCACTGGTTATTGGCAGATTGCCTCTGCCAGACTGAGAGCAGGATGATCCTACCGCGAGAGCCCTTGCATTTTCGATCTGGCGTAAGGTAGCTTGTGTAGCACGCCTGTGAATCTTGCCAGTATCACACGAAAAAAGGTCTCTCGTTGAGCTCAACGGCCATGAGACGTGGACACTAGTCGTTCAGCTCAACTCCTGCCTATTCTTGAAGAACGCCCACAAACACAAGGGAGGAACGCTTCAATTCATTCCCTCAAACCTTATTCAGCGAATCTCGTAGGAAAATGTGGTCTAGCTAGGCACGGGATTGGCCCTTTCTTCAAGTTTGCTAGATGGACTTGAAGAACCTCAAAGTGGAAGGTCCATTTGTCTGTTATCGTGGCACTCATGGGTCTGGTTGTCAATGAAGGGGCCGAATTTACGCGTCTTTTGCGCGGATCGACGCCGAGTGGTGAATACCCTGCTTTTGACATGATAACCCAGTGCTCAGGGAAAAGCAGAATCTTCGTCTGGAACATGGCTGTGCGCTCACATGTGCGCTTCAGCACTAGATTGTTACAAGGCTCAAGCTCATGTGATGTTGTCGTGAGATATACGGGCCTCACTAAACACCATACTATCTTGGTTTTGAAGCTACAAGCTACTTTTTGTATCTCTGAAATGTCCTCACGCTCTCTCGGCTCCGCGCTTGCTGCGGCTGTAGGCGATGATCAAAGTATCATCGTGCAGTCTGCGGGCTGGGGTGAATTTCGGCGGCGTGATGGTAGTCCCCGGTCTTCCATTGGATAGCGTTGACATCGAGCGGTCGCCGAAGCCTAAGTTGGACCTCACATAGGCGTCGGTCATTGTGCAGAAGTCTGGGTTTGTTGATGATATGGCGCTGAAGAAGCCGCTGTGGGATTGACCAGGTGTTTAATTTAATATCTTCACTTCTGGGATCGAGGTTTTTTTTTTCGCTATTTATGTTTCAGAAGGAAGGTGTATCGGTTCGCTTCTGGTGGTCAGAGGTGCAGATGCCAGCTGAGCAAGGGATGTTGTGAATGATATGGAAGGTACGAGGCGCGCTCGAACCACGGATGAGAGTACTGTCCGGCATTCTGGCCTACCTGATGATTCCATCCGACCTCTAGGCAAAGCGTCTGCTTCATAGTCAGGTTGAGGTTGCTCCTACCTCAACCAAGCCCACTCGATCCTCATGGTCGAGCGGTATAACGCCCTGGTCCGTTAGTACAGAACTTGGTATGAAATCTCGAGAAGTCAACGGATGGAGGATTTCGTAGGGATGCAGTTTGATTTACGGACTGAGTACCTAAGCTTTTGCTTTTTTTTCCCCTTTTGACATCTTCAACTAAATTACAATGTCAATAGCTTCTCATGTTCCTATCTACGGTAGCTTATATCATTCCAAGCTGTTAGTATATTTAACCACAGGGCAGCCTGTTAGCCGAGGCAAAATGTAATATCTTATATTATATTGTTCCTACACCTGAGAATGTGGGAGAAGGAGGAATCGGGCGAGATCCATTCGCATCGCCGAAGTGGAAGGAGGTGGGTGGCATGTGCCGGATGAGGAAGGACTATACATACCACCTTCCGTATTATTGACCTTTTCTCTCAATCGCGACTGCTTCATATTCTGGTATAAACGAACAGTATTACTTTAGTAAAAGATGATCTAGATCTTAAAAATCTTACCTTTAGTCAAAAGGGGTAAAAAGAAAAGCAAAAACAACAGGAGCCACCGTGGGTTGAAGGCCGGAGCCCAGAAATAATCCGGAGCATCACGGACTAGTCAAGACTTCACGACCTTCGCCCTCAGCCGTTAGGCCCGGTACACTTTGTTAGGTTGAGAAGGCACTAGGCTACCTATAAGGCATACCCTGAGGGTTTGCTGATCTCACTGCGGCAGGAGCAAGATCATGTGACCGTGTGCTTGTCCGGAGATCGATTATCCAGAATCCGTCCGCTACCTTATTACATGCTCGTTCCAAGGGTAGAGGTGAAGAAGCCCGCTATGTATGCTGATTGTTTCAATGGAAGGTCAGCGGCGTGATACCTTCCTTGGCTTGATGTGTAAGGGCGCTATGGAGGTCAGTTCCTTCCGACCGCGTCACTTCACATACCTGGTAAAGTATTCAATAGATTTACGGGCTTTGATATTCAGGTTTTTGGTAGAAACGTTGTCGACCCACTGGCGTGTGAGTACAGTCTCAGTCATCTTCGTAGGAATTCTAAGCGTACTTGGCCAAGACCCAAAAACATACATGAATCCAAAGCCAGAGCCGAGTTATGAAAGCAGCACCTCCCAAACGCCATATCATCCCCTTATATATTCAAGATGGTAAAAATAAAAAATAAACGCGCGTTTAAGGTATAAGTCACGTTTTTTGAGATGATCGAGGCTGCAGAGAGGGGGTAAAGAGTAATTTGTTTACGTGACTTAGGTAAAAAGAGATATGCTCCTGTACCGGGCCACTTTCAGCCTTCCAACCACAACGTCTCTAACCAATTGTGATTCGAACAAAACTCCTATAACAGAGTCTCTTAACTAGAGAAAAGGGCCTTCTGATTGCCAACTTTAGTTCGTGGAGCGCTTGCCAGGGCTGATAGTGGGCTCCCGTGTTCGGAGACAAGCTCGACTTCAAGCTGCTGTCTATGGTGGACTGTCTCGTAAAGCCATATAAGATCCCTCGGTCTTCATCGGACAAGGGGTTGACGAGCGAGAGCTGGAACGAAGTGATTACACCTACGCCTAGCTTGATCAAGCGAGTACTTTAAGAAGGAACGGCAACCAAGAGGTACATGGCCATATTGATGTGATACGTCAGATATTTCTGATTAGCTGAATCATACAGACGTAAATGGCACAAAGAACTCCAGGCTAGATCCGTCATGCATCCCAATGCCCCCCTTCTTAACCCTGGTGCCCTGTCGCCTACCTAGGTACTCAGACATGTGTATCCTGCCCAACCGTGGTTCATAATGCTCGTTAGATTTCATAGTTGCCGATCACAAATATCATACCCGCAGCTCAACCGCAATCTTATCATCCTTACTCACGACTTCCTCCTCGCCTGCTTTACGTCTGCGACTCAGCTCGCTCTCGGCGATAGACCGAATCAACTGAATCGCCAGCTCGGTACCTCTGGAGACGGACGCCTCGGATGCGTCGGACGGGACGTGAAGAAACGTCACCCTGCGGTGCTTCTGTGCCTTCCACAGATGCGCCAGGCTGGAAAAGTAGATGAAGTCGCAGAGGTAGTGTCCCGCGTCTTCAGATATACGAAGGTCGGATCCCTCCTGCGCAAGATGTTAGCACTCTTCTTACACTCCCTGCCCCAACCCTGGACTACAAAAATTCGTAGTCCTGGCACAGAGACTTACCGGGCTATGATCCTTCCACCGCTCCAACACATCCGCCAAATCCAACCCCGTCTCAATCTCAGACGGCATGCCGTACCACACCCAATTCTCGCCCTCTTCCCTCCGCCTATCCTCGTCCTCGAGCTTCTTCCCGTCAACGTCAGGGAAAGCGTAGCCGTCCCGGTGACCGCGGCGCTCAATCGAGTAGAATAGCCGCGGTCCCGCCATGCCGATGTGGACGGTCGCGTCGATGCGCGGATGGATTGCCGGGTCCCATAGCTGGGGCACCAGGCGGCGGACGTTTTGGTAGTTTACACGGATGGCTTCAGGGTGCACAAGGATCCGGACCGGCGGGGGGGGCCGAGAGGAGGACGAGATGGAGGGTGAGGTTGAAGAGTGGTGATCTTTTGGGTTCTTGGCGCGGAGGGGCGGGAGGTATGCTGGGAGAGAGTGGGCGATTTCCCAGGAGGGGTTTACGGGGTATTGGGCTTTGAAAGGCTGCGATTGAGCGATTGTTAGCCAACAAGGTACCTGTTTTGTGAAGGAGGATGTTTGTTCTCGTGGAGCCATGCGCGTCGCCCTTCGTCGGTTGCGATGCGATGGACGGTAGTCACGCTGCGGCGGCATGGCGGGGTAGGAAAGGAGGGGCAATCGGGGAATGGAACGGGAGCCGGGTGGAGATGTAGAAAACCTACGCCGAAGCCAGTGACGAGCACCGTGAACTCGTCTTGTGAATCAATTTGTGACCCCATAGCGAAATAGTCTGAGCCTCCGACGAGATGTCGTGGAAGTGAGGATGATGCAAGAAGAAGAAGTTGTACGTCAACGAAGGTGGCTTCCGGAACAAAACCACGCGATCGCTCAAGACGTGGGGGAAGGAGGGGGGAAGGGACGATCCAGTCTCGCGATTGCCTTTTGTACCCTCCACTCTTACGGGCAATCCTAGGTCCCCTCCCCCATTCCCGCCCCCTCCACTGCTCTGATGCGGGTGACATCCGCCCCGGCGCTGGATGCGCTGTGAGAGGGTGGTGGGGTCTCAGCGCTAAGGTTCCCGGTGCAGAAGCCGTACAGGACCCGCGCTCGCCTGCAGCAACCTCAGCAAGGGCGATGCGGGGCACCTTATACCTCACCCGTGGGCGCCTTCCACTTTCACCGAGCTGCGCCTGCGTTTTTGGACGACGAGCCAAGCACCTGGGATATGAAGAGATTTCCTTCTAATATTCATGATGTTGTTACTCTATGAACATAATCTCTGATCCCACAGTGGACATCCATCGGCCAGGTCGGCGAATCGAGAGATGTGAAAAACGTGGCATCCTCTCAGGTGCGCAGCCAGGCAACGTGTGGTTGCAACGGCGTGTAAGACAAGATTTTGACTTTGTAAGGCCATCGGGAGGATTCAGCAACGTCGTGCTACGAAAAGGACCGCCTGGGGAACTAACATTAATCATGATTGGCTGACAGTCAGACTGACACAGCTGAAAAAAGGTAAACTCAGCGGTGAGGAGTTGGGATGATGGCGTAAACATTGGAAGTTGCACAAGTCATGACCGATCTGATTAAGGAGTAGCATTCAGAAACTTCATTGTAGCCCGTTGGGCCTGGAGTCTAATGCTAATGACCACTATGATATACTGAAAAGGCCCGTCTTCTGACGGGTATATATCGCGTCGCATGCTTATGCTGTAAGCGCAGCACCCTCTACGGTGCGGGTATCAAACCAAATATCATCATATCCAGCCCGTGGCTGAACCCCATCATTAGACCATCGACGAATGTAAGTAAAAGGCGCCTCATCTCGAGGCTGATCGCGGCTCGTCAAGGATCTTCAAACCTCCCGTATCATCATATCCCACGCGCTCTTCATCCACAGCCCTTCGCATCTCGTCTCGAAGAACTGTCTTCTCGCCCGTGACAGGATCCCATTCCCATCCTTCACGCATCCACATCCATCGGAGACACGCCCGAAGCTCCTTGTCATCGGGTCGCACTCTCATCCACTCGGGTTGGAAATTGGGCGCTGCGCCTTTGCCATTCCAGTCGTCGGCCCGCCCCAAAAGCTCGTCCCGACAGAAAATTCGCCAGCTGTCCAAGGCGTATTTGCCTTGCGTGACATGACCCATTTCCCAGGCATCGTCGGCATCTTCAGTAGTAGGCAGTTCAGGCAAGCACTGCTCAGTATCGCTGTCGGGTCGAAGTGCGATCGCCTCTATATCTCTCTTGTCGTAATTCTTCACTCTGTAAACAACCCCCCTTGTCGGGGGAGTTTCGAGCCAAACTCGAGCATACCGCTGTATCGCTGCTGTTCGCACAACTGAAAGCCCCAGATGGCGAATCATACTCATGATGATCCGTGTCGCCTCTGGATCGGCCAAGGCCTCGGGTGTTGGGAAGAGTTCCTTGACCTTGTAAAACGTTGGGATGGCCAGCGTCCCAGCTGTTTTGACGAGGAAGGTCACTACCACAAGCAGCCAAAACGGCTCGTGAGCAAACTCTTCTTGAATGAGACCAAAATTTGATGCCGTCAGTCGTGGAAAGGGGATCGTTGATACAAGACCAGCGCCGCGTTTCGATCTAGGAGACTGTTTGGCTGACGATGGCAGGTTGAAGAAGGGAGACTTGACGGCCGTCTTCCGCCTCGGCGAGGGGCCGGAAAGGCCTAGTTCTCCGATTTGATCCGGCTCAAGTCCTCGAGGGACAATAACTCGGACGAGTTCATCGGAGACGGACTGTTGGGCGGGGATGGCCAGGATGGCGCCGCTGCCCGAAGATCCCTGGCTGTCTGCGGGCCGCTGGCTTTTAAATCGCCGGCGTCATCACCGTTCGCTCCGCTAGCCGCACAAGCGGCGTTCTGGGCCTCGCTGGTCGATTCCTTCGGAGATTTTCCGGTGGTGTCATTCGGGGCCTCATTCTCAAGAGACTGTTTGCGAGGCGTGATATTGGGCGTGGCAATTCCGTTGCGGATGACAGCCGGTGTGTAGGCCCGAACTTCGTCGGAAGCCAGCGGAGCTGAAGATGAAGATGAAGATGACTGTTCTGGCTGGATGCGTGGCGATTGTTCGGCCGCGGGAGGCGCGAAGTAGTGGGATGTGGATGTTTTGGGTGCGACTTTGCGTCGCTTGACTCGTTGGTTGTTGGGCTGGGCATCCTCATCTTCGACCTCCTCCGCATCGTCCCGTCCACGCTTGGAGACGCCCTCTCGCTTGATAATTCGCTCACGTTTGATGATAGCAGGTTGGGGAGCAGCAACGACGCCTGATCGATGAACCCGCAGAAGCGTGGCTAATTTTTTGATGGACTGGTCAGTCGCTGCCCAACCCTGACGCAGCTTGTCGGCGGCTAGCGTGGCTTCTTTAACCCGCGGGACGAAGGCTAGGAGATCTTGTGCATCGAGAGGGGATGTAGCCGGGCTCTGCTCCTTGAGTGAGGCGGCACTCTCGAGCATCAGGTTCCAATCCTCGTATCCGCTGAACAGACCGACGTCGTAAATGGCCAGCTTCTCGTCCCAGGGGGTGCCGGGTGCAGCGAGGACATCGTGCAAGAATGGCTTGTCGATTTCGGGCACGTCAAATCCGACGAAGACATCGTCTGCTAGTGCATGCGCCATTGCTGATGATGTGGGTGGACTGACGCAGACGAATGAGCCGGATATCGCGATATGAAGTTTGTGTGTACGTATGAATGTGTAGGTGGGTATGTGGTGTGAGTGACGGATTGAGTGATGGAGTGAGAAGAAATGAGTTTTTTCCGAGGTTGCGAGGAGTATTCTGGGAAGGAACTGAATTGTTCCGGAGAAAGGTCTGAGGTAGAGGGCAGTGGACTAAAATTGAGTAAGAAGCACCTGAGGTTGACTTGAGAGTCCGGGCCGACGTCAATGGTGATCTAAAGGGGTTGAAATTCTTCAGTTGCCATTGATGTGAGGCCTGGGGACCGTTGAGGACGCCATTGTATGTGTGCTGTGGGCGGTCAGTAGCATTCAACTGCAGCGTCAAAGAACAAAATAATTGAATGCGGCAGGTGCAGGGGCAGAAACACGGCAAGGCAGGTGCGAAGGAGGGGTGAGTATCCCGTCTGTCGTTTAAGGAATACCTTTGCAATGGCAACGGCGCTGATGAGGTGAAGTCGGGTCTGTTTTCAGGAGAGCGTTTCTACTACGCACAACAAAAACCTGCTGGAGGTGTGGTTGTTTAGCCTCATGCGGATCCCCTGGCGAGCAAGGTCCCCTTTTTTTCCCTTTCAGCGTCATAGCCTGGCACCCTGAGAGGCTTGTTTGGCTTTGACGCTGAGTCCACGTTGTACCTTAGGTAGGAAAATAGAAACACGAACCGGCCGCTGGCTCATGGCGGATGAATCGAAACAATTGGGCCGCCGATGAAAGAAACGGGAGCTCATCAAACGGCGGCATCCGCGTGAAAGCCATGGACTTGGTGGCTTGATGACGCTTTTGTTGTCTGTATTTATTCAGATCGCTGACCAACAACACCCGACTTCATATACATAGAGTGACATACTACCTTGCTATGTAAAGTAGGTAGCTACCGTGGTGCTGAGCATGACATGAGGGGAAGTTCCTGGCCTGTCACTGCTGCAGAGGGCCTGAATGATAAACCGGGCAGGTCGGCCCAGCTTATTGGAGATCGCCTACCACAATAAGGCACGGATACATGGCTCAGCCAAGACGCCTAGCAATGCTAGCAGCAAATGTCCAAGTTCCAAGTCCCCTTCTCGAACAGTTGATTGTCCACAGGGGTGCCTCACTCAGAGCCTCCTTGCCTTCCCCAGATTATGCGATAGCAGAGATAACCTGGTTGGTAGGTTGCTATCGCATTGATCAAGTTACGCAATCTGGGACCCAGTCTTGTGACTTGTACAAAGGTCCACTCGTCGACCTTTTTCGCTGAAGTGACTGGTTTACCTGGAATGGACGACGGCGATCCTCAGGAACCAATGCATGAGAATCGTCTGCTCGAGCGTGTTCCATGGTGAGGGTAAATATTCGCATTGATCACAGTAAGTGTATGGCGTGCTCAAGCTCTGATAGCTTCTCCAAACGGTGCCCAGCGGTGCGGTGTCAAGGTGCCTCCTAGGAGTGGTGGTGGTAGGTACTGGTACCCAAGGTATTGCTTTGGACGAATGTAAGGTAGTTTGACTTCCCGTAAGTACTCGGGGAATGCAGAGGTGCCTCAAATTGGACAAGTCCAGTCGAGGCCGGCAACCATTCCCGCTGGAAACATCAAGACGTTAGCATCCGGCACCAACACCATCAGCTTGCCAACATACCAGCAAATGACATTCCAATCTTTTGAGGTGCCTAGCCACCATCAGCGGAGACATTATTGAAATGGCAAAAGTGCGCGAGTTCCTCAAGACTTACCCAATTACCCTAGCGACATCGAGGGTGGCAGTGACATGAGCCAGCCAAAGTCTATCCGGCGAGTGTTGTTTTAGTGAGCGGAGACCGAGATAGGCGTTCGGTGCCGCGGGTGCGTCTTTCGTCTTTCGCAGTCTGCGTGTCTGGTCGCCGGGTGCCACGTCTGCGGAAAGCCGAAGCAAGTACGTACCCAGTACCTACGGTGTGCGGTGTCAAGTGGGTGACAAAATCGATTTCCGCTTGAACACATCCGACAAAGCAGTTTCCACCGCTGTCATCACCAGTACTACTATCTATAAGATATAGTATATTCTTTTACGTATATAAGAAGGGTTATGATACAGAAGGGGTAGTAATTCTAATACGAGTAGTAAAAGGGGTGCTTGTTCAAGACGTATGGGAGGAAACCCATTTTGTCACCCACTTGGGTGTGCCGTTCCCCAGCGTAACCTCTCTGCGTGCAAGTGCGGCCTGCCGTGCCTGCTGCACTGTCCCAGTGCAAAGTGTCTTGGTGCGTCCACTCCTTCCATGACGGGGAACGCATGATGAGTGGTCCACCGCGTGACGGCCTGTGGGTCCAACCATGTCACGTGGACACCTTCGCCCAATCCTTGCCTCCCGCCAGTCGGTCGCCTCATTTACTGCCTACTCCCCATTTTCGCTGTTCCTAAGAACTTCCAGATCCTATCCCAACATCCGTCCATCCCTCACCACACACCCCCCCAGCGCGTCCTTGTCCTTTTCACGAGCGTTCACCAACCCGAATCGAACACTCTCAGCGTCATCCGAGCATCGAGAGATGAGTAGTCGCGGCGGTAAATTAGCCCCAGAAGTCAACCGGTAAGTCCGATTTCTTCCAGTCGCGAATCTGCCTACCTGCTAGGCTGGTATATCTTTGCATCTTTTCCCTGCCTTGGCCGCACACGACTTCCGGCCGCCGGCCAAGGTCACCCCACGGCCCATGCCGACCACCTCCGTCCGGCCTCGCCTACTACCTACTACCTTGATCCTACTACTCCGTGCTCCGATTGATACCTACCCTGGCCGGCGTGCAACTTGATGGGAGAGACATGGCTGACTGGTTGTCGTACAGAGCTCTGTTCGTGAAGAACTTGAGGTAAGCCTCGCCAACCCTTCGACAATGACCCACGCGACGATCAGCATCAAAGACTGACATCGACATAGCTACAACGTAACTCCAGAGGAGTTGTTCGACCTGTTCGGAAAATTCGGCCCAATTCGGTACGCACCTCTCATCGATGACAAACACCGCCTTCCTCGATATCGTTACTGACCCATAGCACAGACAGGTCCGTCAGGGCATTGCAAGCGGCACCAAGGGTACCGCCTTCGTTGTCTATGAAGACGTAATGGATGCGAAGCAAGCTTGCGACAAGCTGAACGGCTTCAACTTCCAGAACCGATACCTCATCGGTATGTCTCTGTTGATCATCTTCAACAATTGTGGATCCATACTAACTTGATGACTAGTTCTGTATCACCAGCCAGAGAAGATGCTCAAGTCAAAAGAGGACCTCGAGGCTCGCCAGGCTCGTTTAGCGCAGCTCAAGACACAGCACGGTATCGATTGACAATCCGACGGGTCTGCGGCACGCCTCCAGACACCTACCTCGTCTGCAGGCCCGTCTATTTCTTCATCTAAACGAACCACTTCTCCGGATCAGAAGACGATCCTCAGAAAGGCCAAGCCGACCATCACCGGGCGCGCACCCAGAACCGGTGTACGATTTGCCGACGGAGTGCTCCCAAACTCGCTCCGGGCCCAGACTTGCGCTTGAGGTGGTGGGTCGTTGTAAAACATGACCCGCCAAAAATTTCAAGCTTTGTTCTGGTCGGGGGTTCTTACGGTGCAGAGACACGCGCAACTTTTCTTGTTCGCTGGTTTTGGCTTGGCAAACGCCCGAAAACTCACTCAACCTCTCCTGGAGAGTATCACGACCTGATATGAATCTTGTGCGATGGCAGGGGCGATTAGGGGACAGGAAACCGGATTGAGCCGTCCGTGGACGAAGTCAGTCAACAACTCGACGGTCCTCGGCGGTGTTGTTTTATATCATTTTTTCTTTCCTTTTTGCTGATTTGGGAAACGGAGGGGGGGCGTATCACCATTGCTTGTGGATCACCATCCTTCGACACTCTTCACACACTACAAGTTGCTATCAAAGAATGCATGACAACCGAGGCGCCGGCCTCGTGTTCCTCCTCCTCTTGTGTCCTGGCACCGTCGGACTATACGAGCTAACTGACGCTGATGTCGTAGTAAATATCTAGGGCCCTATGTGCGTATGCTTTCTAGCGTTGTGACCACCCACTCCATGAGTTGCCCAGCCTCGCTGCTAGACATGTCATCCTTGGCCGTCAGACACTTCTCAACGACTTGCTTGTACAGCTTTCCGGTCTTGCTCCCCAGTCCTGGAACCAAAACTGGCAAGATGACCCTATCCCTCCATTTCTCCGCCGAGTAATGTGGCTTGTAGTACGTCTGCAGCACCTTCCACAGCCCAATCTCCAACAATACAAGCCCCAAGCTGTACACATCATAGCCCTTGCAGTACTGCTTCCTCCCGAGGCCGGAGCTCAGCGACCGTGGGTCCCTGTGGAGGTCGAGGATGCTGGGGTTCCGTGGGTTGACGCTCATCTCGGCGTCAAAGTCTGGGCGTGAGGCATCGAAGCCGACGAGGTATGGGGATCCGATGTCCGGGACGACGGCGGCGGAGACGGTGGTGGCGCGGATTGCGGCGAGGAAGGCGGCGGAGGGGAAGAAGAGAATGTTTGCGCTGCAGAGGGACTTGTGGAGCCAGTCTAGCGAGTGGAGAGACCAGAGGGCGCAGGCAAGGGTTGATGCGAGGCTTATGCGATCGTCTAGGTCTGGTGTTTTGAGGTCAGGGGAGGAGATCAGGGTGTGGAGAGTTGAGTGGGATGTTGCTGGTAGTGGCTGTGGTGATTCTGCTGCTGCTACTGCCACGGTGTGGGTCTTGGTCTTGGTTTTGGTCTTTATGGGCAGGGAGGCCGCGGGTAGGGATGGTTGAGAGAGCAAGGGACAGCGGTAGACGAGGCCGTAGCGGGCGTTGTTCGCGTCGTCGGTGTAGCCTACGCAGTCTATCGTGTGCAGGTCCGGGTGGTTGGAGGAGGCCGAGTGCATCATGCGGGCGAGGTCGTCGAGGCGGCGGAGGTGGAGGAAACGTTCGTCGGGCGAGGAGGGATCGTATTCGACCCATTCTACGAGGACTGGGCCGTGGGTTGTATGTGTTGCGTGTGTGCGGGCTGTGTTTGTCGTTGTTGTTGATGGTGTCAGGGAGAGGAGGTTCAGGGAGGATGAGGAGGGCGATGAGGCTGCCTTCGCGGTGGAGGAGTTGCGGCGTTTGGTGCTGGGGGTAGGGGACGTCGGTAACGGTGGTGAGAGTAAGGGCGTCGTTGTTGGCGAGTAGCTGAGATCGAGGTCCGTACGGGGGATTCGGAAGGCGAACGTCGGGCGGAAGGAGGCTTGGGGCTCGGCGTCGAGGTTGATGCGCAGCTTTTTGAGGTTGGCGGAGGCGGTGAGCTGCGGGTAGGAGTCTGCGGAGGAGGACTCGAGGAGGGCGAGCTGGGCTACGTCGCGGTGGGCCGAGTCGAGGAGGGAGTGGCGCCAGGAGCGGTGGAGGGAGGGGAGGAGGCGGGGTGGGAAGAGTTGTTCCAGGCCGTCGTTGAAGTCTGGTTGCTTTGGGTGTTAGTGTTTTGATATTGAGATGTATATGGGAGTTTAGGTGGGAGGTTCACATTTCAAGTCAGTTAATAGGGTTGTGAACTTCTCCTTGTCTACCACACGCTCATCAGCGATCTGACAACATATACAACATAGATCAAAATGTTTGATGGAGAGAAACATACCAGCAATAACCCACTTGGCCCTCCTCGAAATCTCCTTCCTCCAATCCCTCCTCTTCCCCTCTCCTCCCTTCTCACCATCACCACCACCGGCGGCACCCAACTTCCCATTCCCTCCATCAGCACCACCACCACCACCATCCTCCACAAACCCATACCTCTCCCTCAACCTCCCAAAGTCCGTAACGGTAGCGTGCAACTCCCTCATGATCCCCTCGGCCAACCCGGCCATCCGCGGATCGCCCGCCTCGCGACTGAACCCGTTCAGGTGCGCCTCCAGCCGGCCCTCGGCCACGCCCCACCCGCGGCCCCAGACGACGAGGCGCATCTCCTCGATGCGCACCTTGCACAGCAGCCGCTGCGAGTCGGCGTCGAGGTTGGCGGCCGCGGAGAAGTAGCCGTAGGCTTTGACGCAGCCGTCGAAGAGCTGGCCTAGAAAACCTACTACGCCTATTGCTGTGCCTATTGCCTCGGCCATGTTTGCAGCAAGGGGAAGGAGAGCTTTTTGGGAGTTTGTTTGGTTTCTTTTTCCTTCTTGGCTCCTTTCCGTAATATATCAAGGAATATTTCTCTGCTTTTCCTTGGGTGAGGAGGTTTGCTCCCTTGTTTTTTGGTGCTAGGTGATGTTCTTTTGACTTTATCTCACAATATCGAGTGTCTAAGAACTTCGGATATCATCTCTGAAGGAGGCTTTTTACGAGTTCCCGTTTGTGTCGTTGAAGTCGAAAACGGTCAATGATCTCTCAATGTGGGAACACGGAGAGGAGGGGTTAAAGTGAGGTTACACCGCTTTCTTCAACGACAATACGGTATCGAAATATTAGGCGTGGCCAATCTCAAGCTGGAAGAAGCAAATTCAAGACAATGGAGTAAGAACCCAAGCTTTCAGCTAGACACCTCCCAACCGAGGCTTAAGAAACAAAAAAAATCGAATTGGTCATGAAAAGCATACGAGAATAGTTGGGAAGGAACAAGGTAAGCAACGGGAACATATGATGCCAGGCCCTCAACATCCTGCATACGGTTCCTAGAGGGGTCGTTGAAGACCTGCATATGATCCACATCAAATCTCACCCAATCGCAAAGAGTCTAACCCGACGGTTGTGTTCCCCTCATTATAGCCACCTTTGATGCAAGTCACCTCGACTGAGTAGCCAATTCCAGCCCTTTCTTCACCTTAGTGCCGGAGCTTGGCGGACGCCTTTGACCAGGATTAGGGGTCAACAGTTTAGGTATACGTTCTCAACCTCCAGCTGACAGACCTATCTGACAGACCTTCAGCAAAGACATTCAGCGTTAGACACGACGTGAAAGGGGATCCAGAGACTTGTATGAACTTGAATGTATCTTCTCCATTTCCTAAGCGCGCTGCTTGAACTGTCCTTTTCCCACTATTGAATCCTTTCTGTGTCTACCCATCATATATGCGGCGATGGGATCCCGTTGACCCAACGCCCAAAAAAATGCAACTGCAGTGCGGGAACAAGGTTGCAAGCCTTTTGTATGCCGTTCGTAATGCCAAGAAAGCGACTAGATGATATCGATCGTCTTTTGTCTTTCTTTTCCCCAAAGGTATGAGATCAGCCCTTCCGAAACTGGGCTTTGTGTTTTTCCTCCTCAGGAGTTCTTCTCCTAGTAAACCTTCTTCTTCTCGTCGATGGAGAACTGTCCAGGGCCGGCGTTGACAAGCAGGAGAAGACCACCGACAATGGAAAGGATCTGGAAAAAGTCGTACTTGGCGAAGTCCTTGTGGGGGTGGTGCTCGTGGAGCTGCAAATGGTTAGCAAAAAACGTCGGGCATTGAAATAGGACAATTGGGAAAGCTTACAGTCCAGAAGTTGTTCACAAGGATGTTGAAGATGCTGAGAATCAGAACCAGTAGAGTGGCGCTGAACTTGGCCTTGAAACCGACAACAACCATGACGCAGGCAACGAAGCCAACCAGGGAGGTGATAATGCGCCAGACAGACCAGGAGCCGCTGAAGACGAAGCCGACGAAAAGGAAGATGAGCAGGACACGGCCAGCAAGCTGGAAGTACATCTTGCGGTCCTTCTCGTCAAGCTGGGGCAGACCCGCAAAAGCCTTAGTCTTGCGAACCCACGAGTCGGAGAGAACCATGAGAAGACCACCAATGACGGACAGGTTGCGGAGGAAGAAGTTGAGGTCGAAGATCAGACCGTATCCCAGAGCCTGCGTGACGACGACGCCCATGAGGCCGGCGACCGCGTAGTCGGAGTACTTGCGGATGATGACTAGGGTGGAGCATGCGACCATGGCGAGAACGTTGACGATGAGGAACAGGTGGGTGATACCCGAGGGAACTGTACAGAGTTAGCACATCCAATTATTGGGCCACGTATTAGGGAATCGCAGACGTACTGTGGCGGTAGTCATGAAGGTACAGGAGCTGGTCGCTCCATTGCGTAATGATTCTAAGAGCATCCTCGAGGAAGGTAACGACGATCAGGAAGCGACCGATGGCGGGCAGGTAACTATCGAGCGACGTTAGCCGACAAGAGTCTCACGCGATGGCGAGCTATCCGACAGCTCCCTGTCAAGATGCCGAGGTTCCAACTCACGGCTTGATTGGCTCGCTGAGAGTGTCCAACATGTCCTCAATCTTGCTTGTCTGTTGACGGATCATGTCCAAAGGGCTGGACTCGGAGCTGTCACCACTGGGACCGCCAAAGGAGGCGGAGGGGCCACCGGCACCCAAGCCGTAGGAAGGGCCTCTCTGTTGAGCCATCGTGGGGAGCGGGAGATCGACGGAGGGAGTGAGGTCGTAGGAGAGGTAGACGTGGCTGTTGCACAAGAAGGTACAGACAGACCAGCTGTTCGATCTGGCGACTTTATTTCTTTCGAGTCGTCGTTGTGGTCGTCGGAAATGACGGAGTTTTCTGGTGGAGAGACGAGGGTCTGAACCGTGAGGCGAAAAAAAAGAGGGTTGACCGCAGTTGAGATCCGAGGGCTGGCCTTGACCTTGACGTTTCGGCAAAGGCAATTGGGTGTGGGAGGTTTTGCGACGAAGGAGAAAGACAGAGAGGTAGAGGAAAGGATTGACAAAGGTAGACCGTTGGCGCTCCTAGGAGAGAGTTGTCGTGGCAGGGCCGTAAGCTGTGGAGGGTCTTTGGTTTGGTGTGTCGAAAAAGAAGGGGAGCGACTTTTGAGTGTCGAAGGGAACGAAATGGAGAAACTGGAGGGCAAGCTGGCCTGAATGGCGTGGATGACTTCAGATTTGGTACAATGTGTCCTTTCGAGCCTCCCGCGATGGCTGCTCAGTGCTCAGAGGTCCGAGGTACCCACTTTTTAGACAGAACACCCAGAACGGGTAGGTCGCTGGGATGTACCTGCACCTCCCTTCAGTACATGGATCTTTGCCGTGGCCACCCGCCCCTGCGCAGGTACTCTAGAGGGGGAGAAGTACCGGCCACACACATCTCACACACAATTGGGAGCCATAAGGTCGTTAGCACACCCACCCGACACCTCGCTTGTCTCCGTCTCCAGCAGCAACCTCCACTGTATTTGCACCTTATTAACAGCCACCTCACCTTCAAGCTTCAATGTGCCCGCCCACGAGCCTACGGCTCAAGGTACGTATCCGCAGGCGGTGGACTGCAACCATCCGTTTGAGCCACTGAGGTCTTGCCGCTTGCCCGTTCTAAACTACTGTGTGTGGGCGGTTGGCCCCTGCACGGCTTTGTCCCTGAATTCGGCACGAACGCCTAATTCTTTTTTCCCTCTTTTCTCTGACTACCTGGCAAGTGGGTGACAAAATCGATTTCCTGCTATTCGTCTTGATAAGTACCCCTTTCACTACTCATATCATAATTACTACCTTTCTATATTAAAGTCCTTGTCAGGTATATACGTAGAAAAATATACTCTATTTGATAGATATTAATGCTAGTAATAATAGCGGTGTCAATACTAGTGATAATAGTGGTGGAACTGCTTGTCGCATATGTCGAGCGGAAATCGATTTTGTCACCCACTTGCCTGGGTAGCTCCAGCCTCCAGCTTCAACCCACTTTTGGCCTCCCTGTGTTTTACATTGGTTGCGAGCGTGGATTCCGTTCATGGTGAATACGAACCTTCATCTTACTGCAGAGGTTGAGGAGTTTGTATCTTGATACTGCTCGACATACAATGTAGACTAGAGAGCTCTCAAGTGAGTAAGTAAAAGGTGGTGAGTTGTCAACTTGAACCTTGCTTGAAGCTCTGAGCTTCCATCACTTGATTGGCAGGCCATCCCTTGCCTTACTTGCAACCTTCCTTTACTGGTTGGCGGCTTCTCGCGGGGAGCCGTTATCAACGGACACAGCTAAGAGCCTTATGCTGATATTCACCAACTGCCCTCTTCATCTTCGCGCCAGTGTCTATCAACTCGTGAACATTCGAACGGCAATCGAGCCGGAGGTTCGTCGGATCTTTCGGTTAGAAGAGGGCGCGCATCTTCATGGCATAGTGAGGCGAGTCAGTCAAGCATGAATCTTAAACCACGCCCGGGCTTCGCTTTTCAGCAGAACACATGACTTGATCAAGTTTGCCATTGAGAAATGATGGGCAGAAAATGCTGCGAGGTATTTACAAACGGATTGAGATGTACTGCGAACAAGGCAAGCTGAAAGGCACGGGAAACCATCCACACAGCTCACCCATATCCGATGGGTGAGTGCCATTCGCGAGCCGCATACTAAAATTGAACGGAACTTCAAGTCATGAGAACCTCCATCCAACCTCAACCTCCCTCATTCACCGCCGGCTTCCTTCCCCATACAGAATACCTACTCTCAGTTAGTGAATTCCCGCGGAGCTTCAGAAAATGTCAAACTCACACTGAAAAGTACGCGTGGATATTCCGATCATTGATATCCTTCCGCACATCGACAAGGAACACGAGAACCGCCTCTCTCGACCACCCGTGGATCCGCGTAAACGGCGCCATGATGAAGCCCTCCATGCCCGCACTCAGGTTCTCATTCTGCCAGACGCCGAGTTCCTTGTACTTGTGATGTCGCGGCCAGGAGTTGGTCGGCCACTTATACCTCTCCAGGACGACGTCGCGGAACCCGATCTCGACCATCATATCCTTGAGCTCCGGTATGTCCTGATACGGACGGCCTAGCTTTCCCATCGCTTCGCCTAGGAGTCTCAGAGATTTGGTGAAGGCGAGGTCGTCGGTCAAGGTTCCGTCGTCCGAGGTTGGGATTAGGTCCATCTCGTTCAGTTCGAGGTAGCCGCCGGGTGTGAGGTTGCTGGTTGTATCAGTTGGCACAAGTCCCCCATGTTGGTCTTCTGGAGTGATATCCGCTTACTCGTAACAGTTTTGCAGGTATTTCCTCCAGTCTGCGAGGCTGGATGTCATGAGACGGCTGTGGATATAGTCAAACGGTCTCGAAAACGTCCATGGCTCTTCGATATCGTCAATCTCGAACTTCACATTCGGGGGTACGCTGAGACGGTCAGTTCATTACCCCAGCATCAGCTGAAGGCGTACGTCAGGGCACACTCACAACTCCGGTTGAGCAGCTGAAAGATCGATTCCTAGAACCTGGAAGGCGTCAGTTGGTGTTTTGCTCAAAGACCGTTTGGGCTTACTTCAGCTTCCGGATGTTCATCGCCAAACTCGATAGCCCATAATCCGGTTCCAGTGCCAACATCCAGAACGCGATTTACAGGAAAATCCGGGTCGTTCGGCGGTGCGGTTCCCAGGCGATTGTCGAAGGTAAGCAGCCACAGGTTGTGTTGCAAGTCTACTTACGTGAGAAGTCTCTCTGAAAGTTTCACAGCAACGAAGACTTACCTAGTCTATCGTTTTCTCTCTCATCGTTGGGGTAGCTATATTCTATGCGTCCGTGAGAAGCCTGTACACTGCAAGGTGTCTCGATATAGTAAAGTCCTTACTCCCATCTTTGTACCGATGATATGTCCTGCCGTTCTCCTTTCTATAGTCGAGAATAGAAGCGCTCACGCTCGTCGTTGACGATGCGGTACCCTACGTTGTCTTTCATTAGGGCCCGGAATCAACAGCAAAGGGAGACATTGCCAAATCTTCATACTCCGTAATCTGATGTTGCATCATCGACAGCCTACAAGTTCACACATCAGTAAAGCTCTAATGCGGGCAACAGAGGCAGACTAAATCACCTCCTCAGCAGCCAGTACCGCCTCATTTTCCGCGTGGTCTTGAGGCGACTGAGGCTGGGCGGGACTCGATGACGCAGGACTCCTTCTGGGAGAAGGCATGACAGTGATTCTGTGAAGGTTTCAGGTTTGCTTTCGCTCACTCAGGCCGTCTTCATGCCCAAGAATAGAGTTTGATTTTGTTTAGTAAATACAGACAAACCGCAACAGAGAGACTCCGTAGCTCTCAAATACCCCTCTTTATTTCACTTCAAGACTATTCGTATTAATGCGACAGCGAGAAGTCGGTGACCAACAAGGCCGTAAGCGACAGCGAATCCTTACCCCGGATGCCAGTGTTGCAGTCTCCGGCTCCATGACTCGAGACCCTGTCCTTGGACGGTCCTACCAATCCGCTCGCGGGACGATACGAACCAAGTGGGCTTTCTTCAGACGGATCAGCGAAAATAGATAGATGTTGGTCCTAGATTTACGACCAATTGCCGGTGTACCTCACGTGTCTATGTATGCACCGAGGAAGAGAAACTGCTACCGGGTTAGTTGTCATTTCATAGGCCGAAGACCTTACTTTAATTCGCAAAACCCCCGTATTGATAGATACTTTATTTATTGTAGTAGATATTGCAGATAAGGCTATTTCACTGCCCGGGGTCGAAAGCCACGTCTCACGAAAATCCAAGTACCGGAGCCGCTCCGGCCCCCGGGCCGTATGGTGGATCTCAGCAGACCCGGAGTGACGTCTTTCCGGATGCCCGAGTCTAGCCCTGAAGCTCATCAGGATGCACGACATTATCCTCGTGCCGCGCTCCGCCGGTCTTGCCGTGTGTGACACTCCACATCGGCCTATAGCTGTGAAATTTGGACGGTTGAGTCGTGTCCTCCGGGTGGTGGCCCTTGCCTGCGTGAACCACGACCTTGAGACCTGGGAGATTCTCCGTTGGGATAACATCTCCCGGCACCTGTCCCAGAATTCGGTTAATAACGAGGCACGAAGTTCGACTTTCCGTGGGATAGCAGGACTTACAGCAACAATAACCCATTTCAAGTGCTGCTCGAGATACTGCTGAACATGATCGGACTCGAGATTCCTCAGGTCCGACCACAAGTCATCACGGCTCACAGCGCGGAACAACAGCTCCAAGGTGATGGGAATCTGCGCCTTGGCCTTGACTCCCTTTTCCTGCTGACTCTGGCAGTTTTGACAGTCCACTCCGTTCCTGTTGCCGGCAGTCCAGTAGTCAGTTGAGAAAGAGTGGATGCTGCCAATATGACTGGGCGACGCCCTGTATTTGGAAGGCTCGCTGGGGATTTCTCCTTTAAGGAAGAAATGAACGGCATAGCTCTTTCCATTCAAGGCGAATCTCGACGAAGAGTAGTTAGCAAACGTCAATATGTAAGGAGGGGCTAGGCAGCATACCGGTCGTACTGGACGTTGATGAGATAGTCATTCGTCCGTCCGTCCAGATCAGGGTTCTTGTCGAGATGCTTTCGAAGGCTGCCGTACTTCTCATTGATGGCTTTCTTCAAATCGTCAACAGGAACGTTGAGGTTGTCGTACGTATAGCCGTAACTCGTGATGTCCTTCACGAGGTTCGACGTAATGAGGGTGGCGTTTGTATCAGAATGGAACGGGTGCAGAGGACCATCTGCTGTCTCGTCTTTTATTGGAGATCCTCCGTCAAACCAATGTTCCGGGTTGAGCTTCTGGAAGATAGCCAGTTGCCGGTCAACATTACAATGGTGCAGCCAAAAGATTGGATCGAACGCGGCAACCGTGAGGTCAGACATGTGGCCCATACCTGGGCTAGCGTACTCTCCACCGGTCCAGACATGAATGCAGTTGTGGAGGAACTCGAGAGACGACCAGCCGGTAGCAGGAGGGGGGTTGAGATCGTTGTCGCCATATTCAGTAGTAGCAAAAGTGGCATAGTTTGCGAAGTACCCTTGAGTCAAGAGGCGGTGGACTTGGTCTTGAAGAGATCCCTTCATATCAGGATCCAATTTTTTCCCAGTTTCTTGCTCCATCTTGACCCATTGGGGTATTTCGAGAGCATTGGCAACTAAGCCGTTGTTCTCAACGCCTAAAGCTTCTTGCGGTGTCGGAGTTTTTTTGTTGGTGATCCCATAACGGCTGGTGCCCGAGCACTCAGAGAACTACACAAAATCAGCTCGATAATCAAATGGTGAACTAGATTCTGAAAGCTATCGACTGACCGCATGATCTTTTAGAATTGCCCAGTTGCCAAACGCAATCGAATTGCCCATGACAGGTGTAGTCCCCTTGAACTTACTGATGACGGAAGTTGAGAACTTGTACAAGGGGTTCGGTACCGTCTGCAGAGCACCTCCTGTAGAGATGATATTGATGTCGGGCTGGGACACGATCTCGGGTACTCCGCAGGACTGAATATACTCTTGAGGCGCGGCCCAGTCCCAGTAAGGCATGCGCCAATTTTGGGCCTCCAACGCCCAGACTTCACGCACGACGTTGTCAGCAATCGTAGGGAGAATCTGCTCTTCCATGATCCCATTGAGCAACTGCTCGAAGAGAGCGAGGTAGGCTCGGTGCCAGGTAGGAAAGATGAGAGATCCATGGGGGCAGTAGAACTGGGGCGTGCTGTTGATGGGCAACTTCTTCTTCTTGTTGGGGGCGGGGTCGGTGTCCCAAGACTGAGCTGGCAGACCGTGAATTCCAGCCACCTGGTAATAGGAGAGCTTGTCGTCTGGGTCCATGGTCTGGAAAATGTTCAAGGCCTGTATGAGCAGTGAAACCTTAATGGCATTTTTAGGGTTGTTGCGCCAGGCCGTGATCTCCTCTCGCTGGGGAATTGGCCCGCCAGTTGGCACCGGGAGACCCTTGATGGGATACGTTCCGAATGCCATGGTAAGTGAGACTCGGCTGGGAGCTGTCTTGACGCCTTGATTTGAAGAAAATTTTGAAGAAGAAGATGACGATGTCGAGGTTTGATGCTCAAGACGTATGATACCGGATGAGAAAGGCGTGTTTATAACCTCGCTCTGGACTCGCGTACTGCTCGAGGATCAATGTTGCTCGTTGCCCCTCACGATGTTGCATTCGTCATCTGAGATGGTCTTCTTCTGCTAAGGTACAATCATTATCAACTCACCGCTCCCATGTGCTATCAAAAGAGACACACATCGAGGACCCGAACGTATGACATTCACATTCTTTTTGTGGTAAAGATGATAAAACAAGAAGAACGAGATCTTCAGAATAAGGTATCTAAAGGCAGGTGACCGCCAGTCAAGTTTACGGCTGAAGTGACGAGGAACGAGTCGGCTGGCTTTGGAACAGTCAAGAGGCCTAGAAGACGTGACCTCGAATAGGCGTCGTGAAACGAGAAACGAGTGGCGGTCAGTGGCCATTCATTGACCCTGCTCTCAGCTGCTGAGGACTCAGACTCTGACGACAGCAAACAGCTTTGACTCCTAACCCGCCACTCTTCCCTTGCCGATCTTCTCTATCGTGGGTGAGTTGCGTGTTCTAGTCATGCAAAGGTGAACGGAGGAATTTGAGACTTAATTGAGAGTGGTTCAACATGATAACGCGGATTTTGCACGCTTGTCCCAGAAAGGAGCTGTGTATCAACAAACTAAAGGAGTGTTTACTCCCACTTAGCAGTACTTCCAACTGCCAGCCGGAAAGGTGAAGGTGAAGGTGACGAGGGATAAACGTGGATGCAAGCCTTTCCTGCCAGAGAAAAGTGAGACCCGTCTCACTTCAGCTCAGCCACTCGTGGAAGAAACGGGCGACGTTCAAGAAATTAGGTCATCACAACATCGTATTGGATATCTAGGAAGCAGCCATACCTCAAGCTTGAAGCTCTTTTCGGATACGGGGCGGGCCGTTCTGTCGCATGCGTTGCGTTGCGGGGTACCGGCAGCGGCTGAAGCAAGCCAAGCTTTGATGGCACGCAGACCGCCTCTCGAAGTGATGTTTAATTGGCGGCAGACAGCATCGACAACTCTATCGTGTGAGTCTTAAGCGTTCGACCGTTTAGCCATTGGCTATCTGGGCTAAGATATTCGCCGAATGCATGTAAACTGTTGATCGCACTCCTTCGAAGCGGACGTGTGATTGTGATGAGATCAAGTTCAAGGTCTCTGGCAAGGTTCACGAATTTTTTTGGGTAGGAGATTGCTCCCTCATAAACCTGGCACATTCACAGTTCAAGACAGTCAGGATATATCGGCGGTCTACTGTCCAGACATTGGTGCAGAGTCTTTGAGACGGCGCGGTGGCTACTTTGCAGTATCGAATGGGCGCTTTCATACGGTAGAACTAGCATTGTTCTAATAAGACAATTGGTATCAGGAGCAGTGACTCGACAATGAGATCAACCGCGGCCAGTTGGTTTATCTCCTCAGTGGTGTCCTACAACGAAGCCCATTGGTGTCTTGGAGACTCTGGGGACTTTCGAAATATTCCGTCTTAAGAATAACCCAAGTATGAAGGGAAGAGATGGCATTATTAAGTTACGGTTTATTGACCTTCGGTCCTCCTGCATATCCCTGGTTGTACTTGTTCTGGATCACACACCACGATTGTAAGTTTCCCCCGGGGTGAAGGTCTTCCTGGACAACGCCAGGCCAATACCCTGAGGCCGCTGATACGTGCGCTCAGTACATCCGAGGGATCCAACCCAAGGTCTTGCCTGTTTTATATAGAGAACAGAGAAACTTGAAAGAAGTGAACACATCTTGTAGGTACAGAGGTCATGTGTCACATGTCCCATCAGACGGACTTGAAGGAAGGAAAGCAGTTTAGTGGATAAGTGGGCAACCTAATCTATATATGAGTTCGACCGGTCCAAAACAGCCTCCAAGATCAATACAATGCCTTGAACCCTTCAAGCTAAAAAATAATGGCTTCCAAATGCCGAACTCAAAATCACGCTCCTGTCAACCATCTTTTACCTCCAATTACTCCGGAGCCTTAAACGCCGGCGTCAAGTGCACCATCAGTGGCGGCTTGTTGTAGAGAAGGTAGACGTCGTGGTCGATCCAATCCTTACTCTGGGCAGCCAGCTGGAGGTCAAAGTTCCAGATGACCTTGGCGAGAATCATCTTCATCTCAGCGTAGGCGAGGTTCATGCCCAGGCAGTTGCGGGGCCCGATGTGGAAGGGCTTGAGGGCCTCGAGGTGGTCGTCGGCGAACGCCGGGTCTCCGAGCCAGCGCTCCGGGTGGAATTCAAAAGGCTTGGAGAATATCTTTTCGTTGTGGTAGAGGGCCCAGTGAGCGACGCCGATTGTGGTCTGAAGGGGAGATGTGGGTGTTAGCTTGGTTGAAGAGGGGAAAGGGGGAGGGTGCTTCGGGTAACTCACATTTCCAGGGATCCATTGTCCAAGAATCTCTTGTCCAGAGGGCGGCGTGATACGCGGCAGAGCGACGGGAACGGGAGGGTAAGACCGCAGAGTCTCCTCGAGGACGGCGTGGAGGTACTCGAGCTTGGCCGTGCTGAGGAGGTCAATCTCATCTTCGTTCTGGAACGAGGTCCTGATCTCCTTTTGGAGCTTAGCCAGCTTGTCCGGGTTGGTGAGAAGGAGGTAGGTGCAGCCGGACAGGGCCGTCGCTGTTGTCTCGGAGCCGGCGACGATGAGAACATTTGCGTTTTCGTACATCTCTGGCATGTTCATTGGCTAGAAGATGTCTTGTCAGCTTTCGAGAACCGAATAAGGGGGAATCGCTTGCTCGTCTGTGCAAAGGTATGTATTCAGAGACAATTAAAGGAGTTGGTACTCACCTGAGCTCCCTTCTTGAGCATGGTTTCCGCAAAGTCAGGCCGCGATGTGCCAAGAGATACTCTCTGGTCGACCTTTTCACGGACGAACAACCTGTGAGACATGCCCTTCTTCATGACTTCCTTGGGGATAAAGGCCTTGAGTAGAGGTTCAAGGACCTTGAAGCCCCTGGCAATGTTGACCATACAAATCATCTTGATGTTGGTAAAAATCACCTTGACCCAGGGGTGGTAGTCAGACTTGTCAAGGCATCCGAAAGACTGTCCAAAAGCGAGATCACCAATAATGTCAAAGGTGGTGTAGTTGTACCACGCCACGACATCAACAGGGCCCTTGCTGCAGATACCGTGGAGTCGTTCGATCAGGAGGTCAATGTAGCTCTTGATGATGGGCTGCTGCTCCTGCATGCTCTTGGCGGAAAAGCCGTTGGACAGAATGCGGCGGTAGCGGGAGTGGTCCTCGCGGTTGGCCGAGATGATGTCCATGTGGTTCTTGTCGATGAAGTCTGGGTCTTTGGCGTTCTCCTCGGTCTTGCCCTTACGGTGGCCCATGATCTCCTTCATGGCGTCTGGGTGCTGGAAGGAGAGCTCGTTGGGCGAGACGCGGATGATCTCGGCGTCGTAGTACTGGTGGAGTGCGAGGATCTCCTTGTGCGTCTGGCCGCGGGCGCCCATCAATGCGTAGGGGATCCGGGTGGCGGCCCATAGCTTGGGGCCTGGGTACTTGCAGAGAGGGTGGAATGTTACGTTGTAGATGATTTGAAGGAGGAGGCCGATGACGACCTGAGAGTGTTAGGAACGCGCTCATCTCTGTGGAGGTAAAGGATAGAACAGGCTATGAGATTAGCATGCTTAGGGAGACGCCGACTTACCAGTGAAATTGCTACTAGAGGCCAAAGGATAAAAGGCGAGAGCCTTGAGCTCCCTGGTTGAATTTCTGACAGCATTTTGGTTGCGCCTTTTCTGGTTTGAGTGTTTAGAAGAGAAGAGAAGTCGCCACGCAACTTGTAAATTATGGCCCAGTTCCCGTCGCTGGACTCTGTAGAAGACTTTTGAGAGAAGAGTAGTAGAGTATGGTGTTAGAGTCTTATTGAAGTCTCAAACACGGAGGGCACTGGAGATTCTTATATGCCACTCGGGCCGCCTTCGTCGACATAAACTTCAAAGTATAGCAGTACGACATGACAGTATAACCCTCAAATCCCTACAGATTACAACGTCACAACGTTTACTATACACTCACCCGTCATTGGCAATGCATGGTACCCGCAGGCCAAACCATTGGCAGGCAAAACTCCAAACAAGGCGCAGGTTCTTTCTTTCCCCCCCCTTCCCCCTCCCTCCCCACGCGGAGCCGTCAAGAGGCCGTCTTGCATAATGCAACGAGACGCTCAATGTACAATGGTAAATGGACAACCTCCGCGTCAGTCAGTACGCGAGAGGGTCAACTTCGCTACGCACTCACACGAATGCGAGGCAGGCTAATATCAGCGCCAGCGACCACGGCCCGCCGCGCGTCATAGTTCCCCGGCATGGGTGATCGACTAGTGCCCATCTACAATCTACCACTAGGAAGCCAACCTTACTCGTCGGAACTTATCATTCGTCCACTCTTTTTGAGGGCGAGAGGAGGCTTGGAAGGCCATGTCGTTCCCGCCTAGAAACCTGTCGGCAGTCGACGTGTTGCAGGGAGGGGCGGGTGCGAAACGGGTATGCCTGATCCTTCCCGCATCGTGGTACCGTTGCCCCCATGGTTTTACGATGAGTGTCATGACAAGTCGTCTCTTTCTGAGGATGGCAGTTCGGCTCCGAGACTCGTAAACTCTATGACACTGACAATTCTGGGACACTGGGGCTCAAGTTGAGTTACTGGACTCAATGATCTGTGGGCCACCGGGTTCATCTTGGCACGGGGATCTGGACCGGCAGCGTTTGCCGGGGTATGAAGTCAGTCTAAGATGGTAGTTGACAGTCCAAGAACTTTCGAGGCAGTGACAGGTTTTTTTTCCTTTCTCTTTTGACACATAGCGGTACGGATATGCACGACGTTGCCGTGCTTCGACGTTGGACGTTGCACCGCAGTAGCGTTTCCATTGTTTCCAAGAGTGCAGAGATTGTCTC